AATTCTCATTCTTCCAGACCAGTCCCAAATTCTGAATGTTCACATCTGGCTGTGGTCCAAATGAATCTGGTCCATCAGTGCCAAAGCCTGGATTAAAAAAGGGGGCTTAGGCGTTGCCATGTTGAGTTTTTCAGTGCTAACTTTTAGGCTTCCTGTCCAGTGGAATTCACAGCCCTGAGTTAGGTGCCCAGGCTCCCTCTACAGTGTATGGAGAGAGAGTTAAGGCACTTAACATGCGATTCACGGAAGCCAGCAAGTTGGGTGGGGAGCCACCTAAGCTGTCAATAAGAAATGCCAATGAGAAGGGCTTAGACCCCACGCCGCCCAAGAAGTTGGGCCCAACAAAGGTGGAGGAGTGTGTGTGTGGGGATATCTTTTGTGGGGGATTAGGTTTACTCCGAGCACATCTACCAGATCGGGCCTGCAGGCAAGGTAGACAGGAGACAGCCTAGTTTGTTAATCCTTCCAGGGCTTAGGTGTGAGGTAGGGAACTGAGCTGTTTGGTGGCATCTAGACTTAGGCAGCTTTGTGCATGCCCATTAGCAGAAACTCAGATGCCATGGCAACTTGATTACCTACAAAGTAAGGCAGCAGATGAGTGGCAATTTTGTGAATGCCAGAAGTACCTAAATGTTGGACGTAGGCGCCTAAAGGGGCAGTTAGGTGTGTAAGTCCTCTTGTGTATTTAGCCCGAATTCTTACACCTAAAATGTTTATTTTCACATATCTGTCAATCCCTTTAAGTATATTTAGCTTTTTCAAAGCTCTGCAGTGAATGACAGAGATTGGTGACACCAACTCTTTCAATGATGCAGGCCTCTAAAATAAAGAATAATGAACACAATTTATAAAAGCCATGTCCTAGTTAGAACTTTAGAGAGAATTCAGTGCAGTGAGAATTTTTTTTTTTTTAAGTGAGACATTACAGTTATGGCATCAACAAGTTGACTTCCTGGTTTTCAAAAGCATTTGGTCTTGGTGGCTTCTTAGCTCCCCATCCAGAACTACAAAGCTACCACATGCCTAATTAAATTCTAAAAAGCTTTCTGACAAAAAAATTTTGGTAAATGTTCATTAATTATTAATAAATAATTGTTTTCATTATCTCACCAGCTGTACACACAAGCATGCAGAATTACTACCTGGAGATTAGTGTTTATTTCCAAACTATCTGCAGAAACCAGAATGTCATCCATTTTGATCTACGGTGTGGCATGATTTCTGCTGGTATTTTCAAAGGCTGTAAGGTTTTTATGGCCATTAAATATCTTCAAAGCAAGAAAAATCTTACTTTTATCCACTTGTCGATGGTGGGGGGGAACAAAAACAAAATAACCCCTGAAAACAAACATTGGTCCCACTGAAAAGCAGAATCAGAGCTTTTTAATAACCGCAAATGAGTTATTCAACAGAGATAGAGGGTCAAGAAAAGGAGATTGGGATGAGGTCTTGGAGGTCACTGCTTGCCACTTTGCATAGGTGGAAATATTTCTGTAAGGTGCAAGACATTGGAGAATCAGAAACTAACAACAACAACATTAATTTGGCCCTGTTGCACATATGTACTATTTTTAATTCCAATATTCCTGTACTATTGTTTACCTCTAAAAATGCAGGTGTACCATCTGGATGAGTTAAAATAGCTCATGCAACAGTTACTTTTGCATTTCATTATTTTGTGTGATTTCAGCTGTGCAACCTTGACGTTCCGCTAACAAAATTTTAAAATAAATTCCATTGGTAGACAGAGAGATATGTACAGATCTATCCAACATACACAAGCATAGAGACATAATGACAACAGATCAGACCAGGGTCCATCTTATCCAGTATCCTCTCTCTGACAATGGCTAATACCAATACATTTCAGAGTAACGTGCAAGAGACTCCCTAGCGGATACTTATGGAATAACATGCACAAAGAAGAAGTTTGTGCCCAATATTGACAGCTAGCAGTTGAAGCATGAGGGTTTGATATACCCTTTGTAATTTTCTTCCTTGTCTAATGTAACTGTGAATGTTTTACTTATCTTTATAAATGTCAACTCCTTTTTTGACTCCTACTAAGCTGTTGTCTCAGTGATATCTTGTGGCAATTAATTCTATAAGTTCATTATGTATTGTATAAAAATGTAGGGTGTTTTTTCTTTTATCAGTTTCAAATTTGTTGCCTTTCATTTTCATTCAGGGTCTCTTTGCTCCTGATTATGCATTTGTATACACCCCCTTTCAGGTGATAACTGATATAAAAATGTAAGATATTGCATTATTATGTATATTTTTGAAATGTATTATAAATGTGTTAAACTGTGTTATAAAATCCTTTTTCTTACCACATTTGAATGCATGCAGCATTGTTTATAGTTTATATATTCGATTTTGCTCAGCTGACTCTCTTTTCTTTGTTGGTCATAAATCATGGCTCTTTATATATATCTTGGCGTCAAGAAATTAATGCAGCTATTTATATCAATATGAAATATGCATATATGTAATTAGAAATTGATTCTAATTACTATCCTGTTTACTGATAACAATAAACATAGTCACTTGATGACATAATTTAATCCCACAACATTTTTGTACTGATTGTTAATATACAGTTGAATAAATACTTGCAATGATGATTTTTATAGGTAAATCCCATATGGCAGCTTGCAGTACAATTTTGTTTTGTTAAATGTTTTTAAAGTGTAATAAAAAGATTTCAGAAAACCAATATCATTTCAATAGGTGAATGCTGTGGAGTTGATTGCTTAAAAACAATTATTTTAATTGTTATGTTGTGCCTGTTTCACTTATGAAATCTAGTCTCCAGAGAAAAATAAAGGTCAAATACAATTTGGCATACTTATAATGACTTCTCAAGCCAACAGATGTGTAATTCAACTCAACATCTGCTTGCCTTTTTATATGTATGTATATGAATTTATAGTTTATCTGAATTTATAAAATATTGGGAGTAAATTCCTCAAAAACTATAGGTTTGTCTCCAGGAATCAGCTTGATTTCACTAAAAAAAAGATGTTGTTGAACATATAAAGAGAGTACTCATTCAGCTCTTAGATAAAAAGAAGTAGTGTTGCATCAATAGATGTGTATTAAGCATGAATATGGTTTGTTCAAAATGCCAAGTGTCATATTCAGGTCAATCAGGATGAAGGCAGAAGCTTACATTTCAAACATATGAAACCTTCATAATTAATTAATACACAGAAAGCTCTAAAGTGAATGACAGCAAGCAGTCAAATTGATTTTGTGGGTGTGTGCTGAGTGTCCATACTATTTACATTAACATTTTTTTAAAACGAGAAACTATTTGATATTGCTCTTAGCATCATAAATTGTTATGCTCCACTATAACTGAAGGGTTTGTACCAACCAGAATACTGTTTGATTCAATGTATTTGCTTTCATTAGTATCTATGAATGCATTTTTCATTAGAAAGTTAGCATCTATGGCCAAATCCTTAGTGCAAAATGGCAGGAGAGGAAGGGATGCTTCGTGGAGCTTACTCCGTGGCAGCTAGTGTAGCTGTGAGGCTGAAGCCGTCATGTGCCTCTGGTTTGAGTGGAATATCTATTGGATCTTTATACTCAGGAATCCATCTGCCTTATTCCCCACCACATCCATAAATCACACTAAATTGCCCTTTTTGTGGCATGCACAGGGAAGCCTTATAAATCAGTTCTGCATGGTCAATGAAAGATGAACAACGTGACCCCAAACACTAGGCCCCTCGTGCCTGTGAGAGCAGGGATGCAGGATGTGCCCCTAATGATGAGTTCATATTTATTTTATTTACTAATATACCTTATCCTTTCCTTATTTTGAGAACCAAGGTATTGTTCAAATGCCATGTCAGCTGCCCAGTATGCAAAAGTACTCTGGTCTAATCTAATGAATGTTAATTTCCATGATTTCTGATACCTCTTCACTAGATCCCTATAATAATCCCTGCTAATGACAGCATGATAAATCAGTGTGAGTTTTTCCATTGGCTTTCAAATTAGAACCTGACTACATACAGCAAGAAAGGTTTAAAAGTTCCAAACTGATCTCACACCATTTTATTCCAAGAATCAATTTTCAGCTGCTTTGATTGAAAACAGTATTTATAGCATCTTGTGGTCAGCTACTGTGCTGAACTGTCAAAACAGTGGGGAATAGAAACTTATGTAAGAATTGTTTAGAACACTAAATTGTCTAGAACACTAGAAATGAGTGAGGATAACTCTGAAAAACAGAAGTCGTTCTGAAGACAAAGCTAGATTCGCTGTCACCATTTTGACAAAAAATCATTCCTTTATAGCAACTGATATAATTTAAGGCAAAGAAAATTACAGAGCTAAGTAATAGCATGAAAATACAGAACATATGTAATTATTACATGGGCAAGGAAACACAGCTAGCAACAGACAAGACAAAATTGTTACACATCAATTAATTTGTTTTAATAGAAGTAATCAATAGTTATGAAATATAAATAAAAATTAATATGGTTGGGAGCAATTTGTGTATATAGCCTGTGTATATAGTTTTGTGTATATAGCCTGTGTATATAGATTTGCATATGCTTCAGTGTTTGCATGGTCACAGCCTTAGTACAAAAATTTATTACTATTACTTCTATCCTCCTTTACCTTTCGGTCTTTATGTTGGATATACTCCCTGTCAAGGTTCCTTCCCCACGCTGAACTCTAGGATCCAGATGTGGGGACCTGCATGAAAGACCCCCTAAGCTTATTCTTACCAGCTTAGGTTAAAAACTTCCTCAAGGTACAAACTTTGCCTTGTCCTTGAACAGTATGCTGCCACCACCAAGCGTGTTAACAAAGAACAGGGAAGGAGACCACCTGGAGACGTCATCCCCCAAAATATCCCCCCAAGCCCTACACCTCCTTTCCTAGGGAAGGCTTGATAATAATCCTCACCAATTTGTACAGGTGAACACAGACCCAAACCCTTGGATCTTAAGAACAATGAAAAATCAATCAGGTTTTTAAAAGAAGAATTTTAATTAAAGAAAAGGTAAAAGAATCACCTCTGTAAAATCAGGATGGTAAATACCTTACAGGGTAATCAGATTCAAAACATAGAGAATCCCTCTAGGTAAAACCTTAAGTTACAAAAAGACACAAAAACAGATATATACATTCCATTCAGCACAGCTTATTTTACCAGCCATTAAACAAAAGGAAATCTAACACATTTCTAGCTAGATTACTTACTAACTAACAGAAGTTCTGAGACTGCATTCCTGATCTGTTCCCAGGCAAAAGCATCACACAGACAGACAGACCCTTTGTTTCCCCCCACCTCCCAATCTGAAAGTATCTTGTCTCCTCATTGGTCATTTTGGTGAGGTGCCAGCGAGGTTATCTTAGCTTCTTAACCCTTTACAGGTGAAAGGGTTTTGCCTCTGGCCAGGAGGGATTTTATAGCACTGTATACAGAAAGGTGGTTACCCTTCCCTTTATTTTTATGACACTCCCTTTTCACATCTTGTCCTAAACTAGACTGTTTGTACAATACATAACCACAATAACCACAATAGATAGGAACCCAAGGACTCTAGCAATCACAGTAATAATCCTCAAAATAAAAATATAATAGTTACAATGTAGGTCAAGACTGAACTGCTAGTTGCTTTGCATAATATGTCTTATGGGTGGTAGTAAAACATACAGTGCATGAGTTACCAGTTATCTCTTCTGGAAGATTTAAATATGTTATAGAACAATATTTATAGTTCACATGCTCTGATTCAATTTTAATGTTCAGAATAAAACATCATTCAGAAGACACTAAAAACTGTGGTCCTGGCCTTTTGATATTAACTTCACAACAAGTTTCACTTACAGAACTCACACGTGAAAAGTTTATTCCATTTGAAAGTTGCTTCCAGTAAGAGAGTCAGTGGAACAGAATCTCAGCTCATGTAAACTGCCATCATTCCAACTGCACCAACTGAGGCTCTGTACCATCTATACTTAAAATTGGGGATACTGTTGGGACAGATCATTTCTGTTAAATCAGAATAACCTTTTAATTGTGACCTGAATAGTCTATTCCACCCATGAGACTGCTCTGATTATGTTTTACTTACATAATACAATCAAAAGATTTAAAAAACAGAAAAGATTCCCGGGCAGTTCCTTTTTGTGAGCTGTAGTTTCAACTAGATTCATAGATTCCAACGTCAGAAGGGATAACAGTGATCATCTGCTCTTCTCCCCTGTACAAAACAGACCATAGAACTTCCCCACAATAATTCTTGTTTGAACTAGAGCAGATCTTTTAGAAAAATATCCAGTTTTTATTTAAACATTGCCAGTGATGGAGAATCCACCACAACCTTTGGTAAATTGTTCCAGGGATTAACTACCCTCACTGTTAATTTTTTATGCCTTATTTCCAGTTTGAAATTGTCTAGCATCAACTTCCAGCCATTGGATTATATTATACCTTTCACTGCTAGATTGAAGAGCCCATTATCAAATATTAATTCTCCATGTCCGTACTTATAGACTGTGATCCTAAGCTTCTGTTTGTTAAGCTAAATAGAGAGAGAGCTCTTCGAATCTATTTCTAAAGGCATGTTTTCTCGTGCTTTACACATCTTGATGGCTCTTCTCTGAACCTGCTCCAATTTATCAACATCCTTCTTGAATTGTGGGCACCAGAGTTGGACACAGTATTCCAGCAGCAATCACTCTTGGACCACGGGAGACTAGACCAAGGTGCACCAATGCCCAAGGCCCCTGCAATGGCATGGAAATTATTAAGTGAAATATACCCAGATAATCCTGGGAAGTGACCATACCCACACTCTGCTGAGAAAGTCAAAACACTTCCAAGGTCATTGACAATCTGACCTGGAGGAAAATTTCTTCTGACCCCACATCTGGTGATCAGTTAGTCGCTGAGCATGTGAGGAAAAACCAGCCAGCCACACATCTGAGAGAGAGAATACTCAGAGCCCTCCCTCCATGTCCAATGTTCCATCTCTACCCACCTACTCCAATGCTACAGAGAAAGGAGACAACTCACATGCACACACAGAGAATACACTGGGAAAAGGCGGGAATCCCTTCCTGACCCCTTTAGGTGGACAACTGAAGCCCTGAAGCATGAGCTTTTAGGAACATAAGACATAAACCAGAACTTAGCTCCAGGGTATGCCTTACTACTCACAATCACAAGCGGCCCCATCATAAAATTGCACTCATAAATTTGGCCAGCTCCCTCTTAAAACTAAGTTGTTTGCCCCCACAACTCCTATTGAGTTAGACAGTTTTCAATCCATGTAATGTGTGCCATGATAATTTTGTATTTTCTTGTGTTTTAATGAAAACATTGTGGAACCAAGTCAAATACCTTACAGAAAGTCAAATATATTACATCAGTGCTATTACCTTTATTAACCAAACTTGTAACCTCATTTAAAAAAAAAATAAGTTTGACAGGATCTATTTTCCATAAACCCATGTTGACTGGCATTAGTTATATAACCCTCTTTATCAATCAAGTACTGTATCAACCTCTTCATTATCTTGTCAGGATTAATGTCAAGCTGATAGGCCTAGAATTACCTGGGTTGTCCTGTTTACCACTTTTTAATATTGATACATTAGCTTTCTTCCAGTCTTCTGGAACTTCCCCAGTGTTCCAAGAGATATTGAAAATCAACATTAATGGTCCAGCAAGCTCCTTGGCTAGCCCTTTAAAAACTTTTGAATGCAAGATATACAGACCTGATGATTTAAAAATGTCTATCTCCAGATAAAGTTGTCTCAATTCAGTTTAATGAAGACTTCACTTCCTGTCCTAAAGTGTTGTGTAAAGCTGCTTCATTTCTCCTCAGAAATAACTGCACTTCAGTGTGAGTGAAGTGATTCTTGTATAACATGTATAGTTTATAAGTCAAGCTGAAAACTTTGTAAAGTGCTTTGGGATCATTCTGCATGAAAAGCATTATTCATCTTTACAATACTCAAAAATGTCCCCTGTAAAATGGATCACTTCTGTACAAGATTTTAAAACAAATAGTTTTGCAATTCAATAATTGCCCTGTCCTGTTCATTCCCTCTGAACCATCGGACACTGGTCACTGTCAGAAGACAAGATATGGACCATTGGTCTGACCCACTGTGGCCATTCTTATGTTCATTCTCTACAATCAGTGTTCCAAGGCATACTGTACAGTCTGAAACTACTTGACTGTTTTGCATAACCAGTGTTGAATCACTAGTACTGCGGTACTCATGCATCTTTCACGTTAGGCTGAGAGCATGCTGCAAGGGATGATCTTTTATAGTGGTAAAGTAAAACAAGATGTGTAAGGAGTCAAGCTCCTATATTCCTACCTCACTTTTCTTCATCTGGACCTTTCTTTCCCCTCCTCCCACTGCTTTCTCTTTCATCATATCCAGGGAACATAGTGTCTATAGGGATACAGTAGATTAAGACACAACATGATTGAAACCATAGTACCTTAAAATATTTGGCTTTTTTTTAAAAGAAAATTTAACTCTCTTAATATGACTTGTGTTTTTCAAAAGAGGATCTTTATCTGGCAGTCAGATAACATAGCTCATTCTTCGTTTGTCCTATGAGTGATTTTTTTTTTTGTAAATTGAACCCAATACTTTTAGTGCAAGTTTTCTGCATGTCATAGAAAGAGCAATCAACTCTTCAGCAAAATTAATTATAGTTTTACTAGTATTATAACCCTATTGGGCCTGATCCAAAATCCGTTAATGGCTGAAAAGACTCCCACTGATCTCCACGGTCACAAAATGACAGAGTGAGTCACGCAGCAGAACCAGGAAAAGACAGCTCCTCATGCTACCTTGTGTATCCTATGTACTTATATGGCACCCATCACCATAGTAGTAAAGGGCTTCAGACTCTTCAGTGTCTTTCTCTCACAAGTATTATTATCCCCCGTTGACAGGTAAGGAACTGACACACAAAACAGCTAAGTGGCATGTCCAAGGGCATATAGGAAGCCTGTGGCAGAGCAGAAAATTGAAGCCAGCTCTCTCAAGTCCAAAGTTAATGAACTAACCACAGGATTCTAAAATCTAATCTCTCTCTTCAGTATCTCAGGGCATGTCTACACTTACCACCGGAGCGATTGATTCAGCGGGGGTCGATTTATCACGTCTAGTTAAATCGACTGCTGAGCACTCTCCCATTGACTCCAGTACTCCACCAGAGCGAGAAGCGCAGGCAGAGTCGACAGGGGAGCATCAGCAGTCGATCTACCGCAGTGAAGACACCAAGGTAAGTAGATCTAAGTATGTCGACTTCAGCTAAGTTATTCATGTAGCTGAAGTGGCGTAACTTAGATCTATCCCCCACCTAGTGTAGACCGGACCTCAGTGTTTTAGTCATGTAATGGTATGCATGATCAAATGGATCCCAGGGAGAGGTGGGAATCTAAACATAACATCAATGTGAGAACTAGTTTTCTATACACTTCAATTTTTTTAAAAGAAATAATTGTTACCTTTTAGCCTGCACCTTATTTAAAGACCCCTTTAAAATAAACTCTAGTTTTCAGTCCTGCTCTGTGTAGAAGAATAATGTCTCTAAAACTGACACACATTTCTGTGTTTCAGTTATACAGATGTATAGCAAACAATAGAAAAAAAAAACAATGACGTGAATTGTTCAATAGAAATCTGTCAGTACTTACCTAAATATTCCATTAATAAATGATATATTAAATGTTGCAGTAAACAACAGCATCCTCACGAGATGGCTGCCAGGATGTTGATAACCTAAATCACTGAACCAAAAAATATTACCTCAGCAGGCATTAGCATTCTATAAGCTGACATGCATCACTGAAGCAACATTCATTTCATCACAACTGTCTATCCTGTTACAATTTTATTATGCTATTATGAATCATAAAATCTATTCACATAAACATTGTGTTAGTTTGATAATGCGCTAATAAATCATGCAACTTTTAAAATAAATTATTATTCTATAAGTAATTATAATAATAATGTGGACCTCAAAGACATTCTGGTATTTCTGGCCTTTCTTTGCCCATTGTATCATTGTTGTATTTTAGTCTCTTAGGTTCTAATTAGGCCCCAGTCCTGCAAGAGGTTCTGTGCAGACTGACTCTTACAGCTGCAGCGAGCCCCATTGATCTCAATGGGTCTCTGCATCAGTGGCGGGGCCTGCCTGGTTGGACCAACTTCCAAGGTCAAGTCCTTCATTTTTGAGTTCAGACTCCACCTGATTGCAAGTACATGTAAGTGTGTGTACTTAAAATAGTTCATAGGGGCAAAATGGGATTAAACTATGCACTACAGGCACTTTTATTATACCAAGGTTAAGGGGCTGGGAAATTAAGAAACCTGATGGAGAGTTCACATTTTTCCTGACTCATGGTTCTTGGGTTATTCTCCTTAAATGGAATGAATGGCTTGCAGGAGATTCAAACGCCTGACACCCTGAAGGATCTAAGAGATGTAATTAAAGCAATTAATTGCTTCAATACAGTTTTCTTTCCAAAGGCTTTAATTTAAAATGCTAACACTTTTTTTAACATCTTAAAATCTGAAGAGAGATACACCCAGTTGTTGTGTTGCTGTTTATCACAAGTTAATTTACATTTTATTCAAATGGAAAGACCTTGTCCTCCTGTGTCAAGAGGCAATCTATTCCATCTCTCCTTTCCTTTCTCTTGGATATTTATTTCTCCCTTTAATTTAATTAGTTATACCAGCAGTTACATTATAAATATTTACTGAATAGTCATATGGTGATAAATGTCATGGAATTATACCATTATTTATATAGAATATAATAAAAATTAATAAACTATACACACTAAAGTTATACTAGTCTACTTAACCAATGTGCTATATACAAGTAGATATGTGCTGTTTCAGTTTTCCGTTTTCGTGCCTTTACACCAGCAAACAAAATCTTAAATTATTCTCTCAAGCCACCCAAATGAGGGAGGCTTGAGGCCCTGAATTTTCAATCAAATCAGTGGAGGCGCAACCATCAACCTGCAATCTCATCTGCACAGGTCTCAATCATCCTGTGGGAACTATTATTATAGGCACTGAAGGCAAAGAAATCAAGACTATTAATCATATGGTAGACATTAATGCCTCGATCCTGCTAAGACTTACATGTGCTTAGCTTTAAGCATATGAGTACAACCAGAGTTCAGTGAGACTATTCACATGCACAGAGTTAAGCATACTTATTTTTTCTGGACTAGAGTAGGGCAAACATATGATCTACTACAAATTGGGGAAGGAGGACCCAGGGAATTATGGATCACCAGCCTAAATTCAACACCTGGAAGAATACTGGAATAAGTTATTAAAGAATCAATTTGTTCAAACCTAGAGGACAGTAGAGTGACAAGTAATAGCCAACATGGATTTGTCGCGAACAAATTATGTCAAACCAATTTAATTTCCTTCTTTGACAGTATAAATGGACTAGTGGATAAGGGAAGAAATAGACGTGATATATCTGGACATTAGTAAAGCCTTTGACCCATTTCCACATGACAGTCTCATAAGCAAACTAGTGAAATATGGTCTAGATTAAATTGCTATAAGGTGGGTGGACAATTGGTTGAAAGACCATTCTCAAAGAGTAGTTAACAATGGTTTTACTGTCAAACCGGGAGGATATATCTGGTAGCATCCTGCAGGGGGTTGTCCTACTATTAACTGTTTTTTATTAATGACTTGGATAATGGAGTGGAAAGTATGCTTACAAAGTTTAAAGATGACACAAAGATGGAAAGGGCTGGAAACAGGAGTAGATTACAAAACGATATTTATAAAATGGAGAATTGGTCTCAAATCAATAAAATGGATATCAGTGCAAAAATCAAATGGACAGCAATAAAATGGGCAATAATTGGCTAGGCAGCAGTACTGCAGATACAATATGGGGGTTATAGCAGATTACAAATTAAATATGTCAGTTTGATGTTGTTGTAAAAAAGTCAAATGTCATTCTAGAGTGTATTCACGGGAGTGTCATAAAGAAATGGGAGTGTAAGAAATGGGAGGTAATTATTCCACTCTATTCCAGTGAGGTCTCAGCTGGAGTAGTGTGTCAAGGTCTAGGCACCACACTTTAAGAAAGATGTGAAGAAATTGGAGACAGTCTGGAAAACAACAACAAAAATGATAAGAGGTTTAGAAAACATGACCTATAAAGAAAGGTTGAAAGAACTGGGCATGTTTAGTTTAGAAACTAAGGAGGACACAATAACAGTGTTCCAGTATGTAAAAGATTTTAAAAGATAAATAGGACTGTAATCAACTGTTCTTCATGTCCACCAAGGCCAGGACAAGAAATAAGGAGCTTAGTTTGCAGCAGGGAAATTTAGTTTGGATATTAATAAACATTTTCTAGTTATAAGGATAGTTAAGCACTGGCATATGTTACCTAGGGAAGCTGTGGAATCTCTGTCACCGGAGGTTTTTAAGACAAGGTTAAACAAACACCTGTCAGGGATCATCTAGGTGTACTTGAGTAGACAAGATGACCACTTGAGTTTCCTTCCAGCCCTACATTTTTATAATTCTCTGATCAGGTGCTTATTAGAGAAACTGTCAAGATAAAAGTCACAGCCAAGATTTTTAAAAATAGTAGGCCGAGTATGGATTTACAAGCTGAAAGTTAACCTCGTAAAACTCTACTTAGGCTCCTAAATAACTTGTTCATAGTGAAATTTTGCCATTGACTTCAATAGGGCCAGGAGTCCCATTGACTTCAGGAAGACCAGAATTTCACCCCTGCTTTTCAAAAGTGCTGACCACCAATGAGAATTTGGTTTTCATACAGTAACATAAAACTGTAGTGTCAGGGTTTCCGACACTGCAGTGAAACTACAATTTAAATAAAAGCAAATACAATCTAGTTTTCTTTTCTTTTTTTTTAAATTATGTACAGTACACATATGTATTAGTAGATGCTGTACAACATTTTCTCTCAACAAACATTCAATTTTGTTCCTAACTTATTTGACAGAACACCTTCAATCCACAAATAACCCCTATTTAATACCTATATCTAAAAACATTGCATGTATTTAGACCATGGAAGATGTTTAAGTCTCTCATTTTTCTTCCAGATTAAAGCACATGAGATAAACCAACAGACGCTGCATTAGACAACAGTGCAGTGGAAAGCCTATATCTATCTATCTATCTATCTCAAAGGCTGAACCCTGAACTTTTGAAATTGAAATGCACAAACAGAAGATTGAAATCAAACATGAGTTAACATTGTATTCAGCTACGTTCTATAAATATAGTGTGAACATTGAGGCAGAATTAACATGATCTCTTAAAAAATGTCAGCCAGTTTAATCCAATTCTGTGCATATCCAAGCAGTTCTAGAAAAAAAGGCATATAGAACTGGTAAATAATTTTATATTTTACAAAAGAAGACATCCATTATATCCTACCACCAGGTATGAAAGAGCATATACAGATTAAGGTGATGTCCTTGCATCTGGATCTCTATTTCATTAGATTCCATTTAACTGGAGATGCAGGATGCAGTTTCAGGGTAAGCCAACAAAAGATATAAATATATATAAATATATATATATATATATTTTAGACACAGACATGTCTTAAGGAGGCCTATATGTAATCAGCCACAATCTCTCTGTTGTCTTCTCTCACCCTCGTTCAGAAGCCAGCTGCTTACTTCCATTTCCTTTTCTCTCACAGTGACTTACGGCTGTTTCCATTTGACAAGTTACAATAACATCAGTTCTACTACCCAAGGAGCAGGCTGCACTAACAAAAAACTCTTTTGTAGTTCACCATGTAATTTTAGGCAAGTCACTTTACTTTTCTAAGTCTCCGTTTGACCATCTACAAAATGGAGATAACTATAATCACTCACCTTTGCAAAGCACTTTGGATCTCTAGACGAAAACACTTATGCAGGAAATATTTGTTTAACCAATCATCTCCACAGAAAAATCTTATATCAAAACCTTCAATGTTCTAGGGAGTTTATTTGAATCAGTAGTTAACCCGAGCAATACTGGACATATGCAGTAAAGTGAAACTTACCAGAGCCCTTGGGAGAAAGAGAGAGAACACAGACATGAATGAAAATGTCAGGGACAAAGGAAAGGAGGAAACGGTAAAAGGATGAATAAGAAAATAGGTTGTGAACATTAAAAAACAAACACAGAAAGGGAGGGGAAACACAGCTCAATGGGAAAGCAATAGCAGTGTTTCTAATTCTTATATTTTTTTTGTGAGTGACGGGATGTCAGAGGGTGCTGGAGCTTGTCTTCTTATGATGATGCAAAGCTCATCCCTTCCAGAAGCTGACAGAGCCTCTCCCCTGTGCTCACAGTTCTCACAGGAGGAGAGGAAGAGGGAGAGAGCAAAGAACCCAGCAGCTCAGCTCCATTCCATCCTCCCTCTCCCGCTTCCCTCCTGTGAGAAGTCTGGACAAGAGGGTGATTCTGCTCTTCCCCCCTCCTCCCTGCAGCATCCAGTCTGGGAAGAGGCAGAGCAGGCGGTCTTGCTGTAGCCTCGCCAGGTCTGGGAGAGGGGCTGAAGATCCCCAGGAGGAGCAGAGATGAGGTAATAGGGTTGTGATAAGGGCTAATTGGGGGTGAAATGAAGGAGGCTGAATTCATGGGGGTTGCGGGGGCTGAAATGGGGGGGTTGGACTAGATGACCTTCTGGGGTCCCTTCCAACCCTTATATTCTATGATTCTATGATTCTATGAAATGGATTGGGTGGGAGCTGATGGGGGGCTAAACTTATGGGGGCCGAGAGGGTTCAACTGAAGGGGTGGGGACTGATCGGGTTCAGGGGCTGAACTTATGGGGGCAGGTGGGAACAAAACTGATGGGGGGACTGGGAGCAGAATTAATTGCTGCACAGGGACAGGTAGATGCGCAAGTGAGAGCTCCTACATCAAGGTCCAAAGTCACCTTACTCAATACTTTTGGGAGAGTGGGCAATAATAATGGTGACACACATAGATGGGGAATGGGCAGGGAGAGTTCAAACATCAAAAGACAGAAATACAATATCTTTTTTTTTCTAAAAAAATCCCATGATTTTTGGGCCAATCTCATGATTTTTTGGAGGGAAGGGGAACTCATGATTTCTGATCTCTTGAAATTGTCATTACTGCACTAGTTTAATCTGAGACGTGGCACAGGCACCTAGTAGGGTGATGAATGGGGTCAATGTGCATCTGTCATAAAGGCACTGCCAGGGTTGCCCACATGCCACAGTCTGTTTCAGAGCAGAATCTCATTATTGCCAATACAAAAAAAATGTTGTCTTCAAAACAGTTTGAAGCTAAGGAATTAATAGAAGCTGTTAGGTGCTTAGTACATTTTTAAGATTCAGATACATTCTTATTTGGGTATCCAATAGGGGCTTTCTATGTTTGAAAATCTTGACCATAAAAGACACAGAAAAACAAGTGAAGGAAGGGCCCTGCCATATATGCTTTATAGACACTTAAGAGACAAAGGCCACAATTAAAAAGATATTTGGGTGTTGCTCCAGTCAGCATTGCAGGACCTAACTAACTTAGGAGCCTGAGTGATTTTCAGAAGTGACTTAGGCACCTCGGACCACCACTGACATTGTCAAAACAACGGTTCAGCTGGTGCCTAACCCTGTATGCCCCTAAGACCTCTACGTTTCTGCCAGTAGCTATGCACAAAGCCACCTAAGCACTAAAGCTGCCCCAACATAACAAAATTCTTGGAGCCCTCTCTGAAGCCGAATCCCCAAGTGCTCCAAAGCAAGATACTCAAAGTTGACATTCCACCACCTGTGGGGCCTGATCTAGTAAGTATTCTCAGAGCACATCTGACCTGCACAAAAGACAGCCAAAATTTTTGTATTGGTTAGTGGCATGGGTGGTGTTTATGTCCTGGAATAGCCAATTGCCTGGTGGTCCACTGACAGCCCAACCAGAGGGTGGCTGAAAACAATGGCTAAAAAACATAGAAAACCAAGTCTCAGTTCTCTGCCCATTCCTCAATCCCCACTCCGGAAGCAGTGAGGCATTCGAACGATGAGAGGCTGCAAAGAATCTCAGGTGCCAGGTCGCCAAAAGGAAACTGGACAACTCTCTCAGTGTGCACTTATAACTGCAGAACACTGACAAGGGAGGAATTGATAAGCCATCTCATGGAGGAAAAGGCAAAAACAGCCTGTGATGTGCTGGGTGTTTGCGAAACACGACGAAAGAAGGAGATGGAGGTCAGCTAGAGGGATGGAAGCACAGTTATTCTAGAAAAAGGAGAAGGCACAAGGACAGTTGGAGGAGTCGGATACATCATAAACAAGGAATGGTCTTCAAAAATTGTCTCATGCCATTTGAAGTCATCATGATTTACCTCCGATTGAACCGAAATAGTACCCTCAAAATCATCCAGATCTATGCTCCCACAAGTGCATGCGAAGATGATGATGTGGAAGGATTCCATCAGGAACTAGAGGAAACCCTTGTTCAGAGTTCCATATATACAATTTTGATGGAAGATTTTAATGCCAAGGTTGGAAGAGGGAGAGAAGGCGAAAAGTTTATAGGAAGGTATGGTATCAGAGAACAAAATGCGTGAGGAGAATGACTAGCTATATTGGCAGAGACGAGGAGAACGTTCATTGGTAACATCTGGTTCCGAAAGAAGGCCAAGAGAAGATGGACCTGGATCGCACCAAACGCAAAGACAAACAATGAAATTGATTACTTTCTGATCGATAGACGATGCATCGTGCAGGATATGTCAGTAGTGCCATCATTCAATATCGGTAGCGATCATCACCTACTGAGAGCCAGACTCACATTCACTGTGAAGGTAGAGAAAAAAAACGCTGTATATGGTGAACAGAAGGCACCAACTGGTAGCTTTTGATGAGGCAATCCTGAAGGAAAACATTTCTAGAGAAGATTGGAGCCTGCTGGATGACTGCAACGACGATTATGAGAACTTCAGTAAGAGACTGAAACGGTGTGTGAAATCAGCTGAGCGTGAAAGACCAAGAAGAGCTAGTGGAAGAATCTCAGAGAATACATAGACTTTACTGGAGAAGAGGAGGAAAATGAAAAGAAATGGCAGCGATAGGCTTGAGCACTGCCTTCTCTGCAAGCTCATACGAATGAAGTTGAAGGAAGACTTTGAGAAATTTCAAACCGAGAAGCTCCTAAAGGCTGCTGAAGATCATAAAAGTCTCAAAAAATGCAAATGGGAACTGGCGTTCTACAGGTCATCATTACTGGCTTTGAAGAACAGGGATGGAGAATAAGTAACCAATTGAACTGGATGGAGGCAATCTGCAGGGATTTCTATACCCAGCTGTTTGCATCCCGTATAGACATCCCAATGCCATCACTTCAACAAACCGATGAACACATACTCCCGGTTCTCATCAGCGAAGTCCATCACACAGTCCATCAAATGAAAGAGGGGAAGGCTCCAGGCAAGGACAGTCTGACAGCAGAAGTGCTTAAGGCAGGAGGTCAGGAACTTTGAAAAGCTCTCGCCCAAAGGTTCAGCCACTACCTGGAAATCCAGAAGATAGTCCGGTTGGAAAGAGTCCAATACCATCTTGCTGCATAAGAAAGGCAATTGAGAAAATCTAAAGAACTATCGCCCAATCTGCCTGCTTTCACCTATTTATAAGTTGTTCACTAAAATAATAATAAATTGACTGTTGCAAAACCTGGATGAACAGCAACCTAGAGAGCAGGCCAGCTTTTGAAGGAATTACAGCATGATAGACCACATCTTCACTCTCAACTAACTACTAGAGCGTTCAAGGGAATACAAGTTCCCTTTCTGCATTCCCTTCGTGGACTACAAGAAGGCGTTCAACAGAGTAGAGACTAACGCCATTCTTGAAGCTCCTACTATCCCAATTATACTTCAGAAATGCAAAATTACTGTCTGTCACTTTTTTTTTTTCAAATACACAAAGCCTTAAAATGCATGCAATTTTATCTTAGTGCTAAATTTAGTGCCACACTAACCTATATGCCACTATTGCACATAATTTTAGAGGCCAGGCTGAGGGTAAATTACAAACGTGCACTCCACAAAGTATTTTGTGAACAAAGCACCATGTGGTTATCATAATGATTTAAAAGACAATGGAGAACATTTTTTTCCCTGCTCCTGAGAATGTACATTCATGCAGATCACCATCAGACTTAATTGGGAGGATGGATATGTCAAAATGTTGTCCAGAAAGACAGTTAAATGGTTATAGCAGGTTAGTTAAAATTTAATTAGTATTAATGTCCACCATAGATTAGCGGCTTTTGAGCATCTGCCCATGTAAGATCAACCCCCTTGTTTGCCTGATGGGCATTTGAGCAATAAAAATCTGCTGAATATGTGAATCACGGAGGGGAACCATTTCTTTCCCTTTTCAATATGTATTACTCTGTCCACTGCAGCTTGAGAAATGGCAGTAAAACCCCTATAATCATTTGTTTGTATATTTATCCTGATCCCTGTTGGGATGAGGATGACAGGACTGCTTATTGTTTAACATTTATTATTTGGTTGTGCAGGGTAGAGATAAGATGGGGGCTAACTACAATATCAAATTTTTAGAGTGTGATATCACATCAACAGACTTACTTATAAGAAGAGCTGTGCTCAAGTGTTAGGATATAGATATTCAGGCCTGTCTGTAAAGGCCTATACTCTAAGAATTTAGGTATATTCTTATCACTTGGCTAGTTATAGAGGTATAAAAGAAAGAATCAAAACCACTGTCTGCCAGTGTAAGGGCCTTCTCTTACTGTGACAGTCTGAGGCCCTGTTCTTAGGCTAAGGCTTTTGGCTAAGCAACAGAGGCAGCCATAAACTGGGAAGTGAATGGTCACATCTTCACATTCCAAACTAGTCACATTGAAATAAGGTGCTATTGGGCTGTTAGGAATACAATCCTGTCCTGATAGTGCCTATCACCTCCAGAGAAAGGGAAGTGCCTAGAAAATGTAAAAGGAAACTTAGTTTGATAGCATCCTGTCTGGTAAGAACTCACTTATCAATAGCTGGGATGTGGAATCCTCACTCCTGTATTGTTTTGTCATTATAGTTCCCACTTTGCTGTTGTTTGTCTGTATAATCTCTGTCTGGTTCTGTGATTGTTTCTGTCTGCTGTATAATTAATTGTGCTGGGTGTAAACTAATTAAGGTGGTGGGATATAATTGGGTACATAATCATGTTACAGTATGTTAGGATTGGTTAGTTAAATTTCAGGAAAATGATAGGTTAAGGTATAGCAAAGCAGAACTCAAGTTTTACTATATAGTCTGCAGTCAATCAGGAAGTAGGGGGGTGGGCGTGGGCATGCGGGTGAGGGAGATGGGAACAGGGAATGGGGGTAAGAAAATTGGAATCATGTTTTGCT